CAAAATGAAAAGTTCACTTTTTAGAATCATGTCTCTTGACAAAAGAAAAACTGGTTCTGTGTGAATGGCCCCTAAAGCATGTCTTTAGTTAGGGGACATTCAGAGAGAAAGTGTTTTGTGTTGGAAACCTGAGACACGAGCAATGGAATGGAAAATAAAATACTTGGAAAAGACACAAAAGCAATATTCAAACGTGTCCATTCTAGTGTGTTTACATAGAAAAACAATGGAGAAGTATGGCAATGGAATGGAAAAATGATTTACCTATTTAAATGCAAGGTCTAAAGGGGGACTTTTTAAAAGTTGAACATTTAATTTATCCAGCTTTTTTTTTTTTGAATGCCGCGAGACATAAATGCAACGGTCATGTCCATCTAGTGCACTTTTGCATGGAAAAACAATGGAAAAGGAGCACAGTGAAACGAAAAATCATGTCCTGTGTGAACGACCACTAAGAAGTCAACACGAAATAGACTCCATTTACTTTTTAATACACATTCCCAGCCTTGTTGCGCAAGATTCATTAGTTCGCCTTCAAGGGAACTCGCACCGCGTCCTAGTGGACACTATGGGGAATGCCATCAGCATGACCGGTGTCTGAAGCACGTGTGAAAACACTCCAAATCCATTGGACCATGCAGCCTGTGACATCATTAGCGGCACACCCAGAAGCATAAGAGGGCGCCTGCAATGCACGTCATCAACCTTCTTTGTCTTGAGGAGCCATTTGTTTGTTCGGCGTGTGTGAAAGCACTATGGAGCCTTTAGGAACATAGCTGTTTGAGGACAGTTGTGTTCCCAACTTGGCTGAATTGAACGTCCCTCCTTAAATATTAGCTGTCCGGGCATTATTGGCGTGCCCCTCTTTTTAAATTGGTGCATGTTTGCCAGTATTTTTGGTGCTCGCTCACCAAGTGGACAGGCAATGCACCGAGGCATGGCATAGTGGGTATTTCATTCCCCATAGTGTCCACTAGAGGATGCAGTGCGAGACGTATTTGCATGTTTTACATGACTTTTCATGAGTGAAAAGGGATATTCAATTATGAGAAACTGGGTTGATTTTATCCAGTGCAAATAAATTGAATGATGAAATGTGGGCATTCCCACATATCCCTCCCCAAAAAAATCCTCAGTGACATCAGCTGAAAAAATAACCTTGTTTCAGAGGCGATTTGCTGAAAAATAATGAAGACAAACTTTCTTTCTATGTATTAATGTGCACTGATGCATCACACACAGTAAGACCAGGAATGCTTCTTAAGTAAGTAATAAGGAAAGCATTCATTCAGGATTCAAAACAATCCTGTGTCATTTTCGAAGCTCACTAGCATTCAAATGCTGGGAAATGTTGTGCTACTACTAACCAGAACACTCTTGATTGCAGCGTTCACATCTTAGGATTCTCTGACTGGGCTTCTCGTAAAAATTACTGTTACACTTCTGACCGTTATAACCTACATGTGAAACAGAATGCAAACAACAGACATCAAAAGTAATTTCATATCTTCATCTGATACTCACAACTCTAGCTTAGCAAGAGTAAAAGTACATACAGCATGATTACAAGAGTTTTGAAGTGACTGGCATCTGATTTCTAAGTACACACTCATACACAAATTACAGACATTTTGAAACTTGAGGGAAAATCGTTTAGATAAAAGCTGAGTAAAAAACTCCCTATAGTCAATTTGCACAAATCAAAGCTTTAATCTAACAAAGGGTGCAATAATTTGGTCAGTAAGGGACAGGAGTACATGAAGTGCTGTTTGTAAATGCCAGTTAGGTTCTAAAAGGGACAGACTGACTATTTTTAACCAACTCATCTGTCACTTTAAATCTACACATGGACCGGCAGCATGGTTTTTCAGGTTCACTCAAGTATGAGTTTTGCACAACTCACCACAACTGTTCCAGATGGTTTGCTAAAGTTTTTGGAATGGTTGCTAGGTAGATATAAGAGTTCACCTCTTCACCTCTAAGGTACTTTAAGGTATCATTTGTCTAGTGATGCTTGCATCCAGATGCACCAGTAACTGTAGTATGAGAGTGATGCAATACAAAGTTGCATAGAACTAAATGGAAGGTTGAGGAACTATCCACAGTTATTACTAAAAGGCACACTGGGTCATGCTTAATGTGTAGATTTGAGAGTAATTTTCTTTCGAAATTACACATAAGTTAATGGTTATGAAGTGGTGAGACTAGTCAGTCTACAATTCATAATCACGTTGGGTTAAAACATGAGGTTCAGCTATTATTATGCGTTCCTTGTGAAAAGATTGTTCATATATAGTCTTAAAGATCTTTACTGGCATTGATGGTTCCATGAGTAACTTTTAACATCCGTGGAACATTTTTCAGGTTCTTTAAATTGGAAAAAGATTCTTTAGATTATTAAAAATGTTCTTCACACTAAGAAAAAACTAAATGGTTCTTTTAAGAACTGTTCACTAGAAGGTTTCCCTTTTGGACCCTTTATTTTTAAGAGTATATAAGCCATTTTTAGACTTAAAATTGGTCCAAGTTTGATCAAATAAATAAATAAACATAAGATCTAGCTGTTTAAATTCCATTGGCATCATTCAGAGAATTTCGCTAGTTGCTAACAGATGTCATAATGGTTATTGCACAGAATACTACTGAAGTAGGCGGACCGTGGCTTGTATTTCAGAAATAAGGTAAGTGACACGAAAGAAATGGAAGTGGTATAAACTTACCAATAACGTTGACCTGTAGAAATGTAAAAAACTGTGAAAGGAAAACAACAGTGAAAATTTTTGTCAGAATGCCATTTTCGAATCTAAGAGAAGTGAAAACCTAAATAAAAAGAAGCACTTTCTTTGGAAAGACAGTTGTTGTAACTGCATAACTGGTCTGAATCGGAGACCTCTGGCTCATTTTATTCTCTTGGGAAGGAATCAACCAAAGGTTGTTTCAGCGCTACGTTTTGATCAGTTTTCAGTTTGCATAATCAGTTCGAAAACAAGTAGGCAACATCATAGTTCTTCTGACCCAGAATGAACATGAACTTGTGACACACTGAAGATATGGAGATAAGTGCATTAACTTAAAGGGTGTGCATTTAAAGTGACATTTAATGGCAAGATCTATTATTAAGAAATGTTTGTTTTGGAGGTTAGTCAACCTGTTAGACAACCTTCATTGCAGCTGCTTTTAACTAGAGTGTTTTAAAGCTGTAATCTATCATCAGATCAAAGCAAGTGATTTAAAGATTGACGTAATCACAAACAGGCGTTCTGGGTAACCCAGAGTACAGCTACTATTCTGTTGGTGTCAGCAAAGGTCAAGGAAAAAATGCAGCTGAAGGACAATCTGGATGTTTTCATTGCATTGCTTAGTTGCACAACAGGAGGATTGACAAATTCACGTATGCACGTAATCAGTTTTTGTGCCGGAGAACAAACAGATAAGGGACAGGTCACAAAATGGAAATTTCTCAAAGCGAAAAACACCCACAGAAAAATTCTTATCAAGTTTGCTTCTAATGACCTGGTCACTACACAGAAAACCACACAAAATGTACAGGGAAACAAGTTGTGAAAAATAAGCCAGGTTACTAAGTGACAAGGTTGTAAGTGGGTGGGTTAATTCTGAATGGGGGATCCCTGCGTATCAATCTGAATGCCCAAACTGGCAGGGCTCACCTCAACAGATCTGTTTGGAGAGATCTTTTTATAGATTGGTTAGCTTAATTTGGTCATGTTGTGGTTAAACTACCACAACTGTGGGAAGAAATGAATGCAGACGATTACTAGTAATTGACATGCTTTGCTGTTCTCTTACTAAACTGGAAATTCTTTGGTGACTAAATTCTGAAGTGATCAGATTAGGCTAAAGCCTCTCAAAAGGGTCAGTGTGCCGAAAGCCAGAAGGAGCTTTTTCCATTCAGTGCCTTGAAACGCTTACATTATACTGACTGTTATTAAATAGCATTTATATATTGATTATGTCAGAAATGGAACTGATATTCATGGAAACCTAATTATTTCATATCATCAAGCACTACAAAAATTGCACTACATTTTCTCAAAACCTAGTGAGAGCTGGCTTTCTTTGGAACACGTTCTCCCTCTCCTTAGCAAGAACTATTTAACCTTGAAACGGTTTTTGGAGTTATTTTTTTTTTGGTGCTGATTTGGAACCTTTATTTTGAAGCTCACTTGGTATTATTGAGACACGAACGGAGTTGTAATTAATTCTAAACCGATCATAATAAAAGTCACATCCGTGATAAATGAATATGAATGAAAAAATAGAAATAAAATCCACACTCACCAGATAAAACAGCAAAATAAAAGTGCTTCTTGTTGAGGTAGATGGTGTCATGATTAACAGCAGATGCAGATGCTCAGCGCTGCAGTAAATGTGTCATTCAGTTTAGTGCCTTTATATTTGAGCGCGTGGGAAGACCAGACCAATGAGAATACACCAGTGGGGAAGTGTCAAAAATCGTCTTTTATTTATTGCTTGAAGAACATACAAAATTAGTGTCAAAAAAATTAACTCCGCTATAACTGATCAACATACAGAAAAACCACATTTAAAGCTTTCGTTATGTGCTTTCCTTACCTTCACACATTTAAAAGCATTAAATCAGTGTGTTAAATTCAACGTGTAGTGAACTACTGCATATTAGCTACATTTAGTAAAGTGTAAATAAAGACATTTAAGCATGTGCGCATAGAAAACATTAAAACATGCACTTGAGTAAAATATGAAGTGAAATAATGTAACATTTGAATGTGCAACAACCAGTGCATAGAATTGTTTATAGCTTCACATTAAGCACTTGCATTAATGTTTTATTGTTCAGTTAACATTAAAACTCACTGTTAAAGCCAGATGATGCTTTCTTTTCTTTTTTAAGATCGATGAAATAGTTGCAGTTTATATTCAATTTGATTAATTTTTTTTATGAAATTTCACATTTCATGTTAAAGCTCACAAAATACATTTTTTTTGCCTCACTTCAGGACATTACTGTTTTTATTTATTATTATAATTAATTACTGTAACTATACTTTTATTTGCCATTGCCTCGTTCATACATTCATCGATGTGACAAATGTTTTGACAGACATTGGAGACAGTGTGTGTGTGTATTAATTGTATTTAATAATAATTTTTTTTAAAAAGCTCACAAAACAAGCAAACACTACCATTGGTCAGAAGCCAACAATTCACACAAAATGATTAATGTGCTCCATTATTACACAAACAGAAAAACAACGTGTACTTAAGTATTCATTTCAGTAAATCCAGAAAATTCTGTAAATCTATTTTGAACAAAACTTCTGCAATCACTCAAGAGCGTCGTGGAGTTGTGGCCTCTTTGGATCTGAATGCTGAAAGCGATACCGTGGAAAACGAACCACATTTTGAAGCTGGTCAGAATGGCGATGTCTTGATGCATTGGGCAAGGATGAATCCTAAAAAAATATATATATATATATATATTTTATTGAATATAACCGAGATGAACAGCCACAAACATATGAATGACACAAATGTTACTTCTAATCTACAAATGAATTGCTTCCAGGCCTTTCCTTGATTTTCTTCTACACTACACTAGCCTGTGTAATATTAGAAGACTGCAATGAAACGGACATTACAGATTTGACACAATTTCCATGAAGGTGAAAGATAAACGTCTCGGGTCTACTTTCTGTTTTTTCCAAAAGATTTCAGAAATCATTTCTGTTCCCTTTTTGGTCCTTGTTTACTCCGTTTAGTTCATTCCCTGTAGTTGTGGTAGTTTCTGATTATTCGTTTGTTTGTCTGCTAGGTCACGGTTTATTCCTCGTGTGTTCCACCCGTATCTTGTTCATCACCCGTTTGGTGTATTTAAACCCTCTCTTTCACTTTGTCGGTTTATCTGTCAGTAGAGCAAGGAGGTTATGAGGCAGGATCTAATCGCAGCAGCACTTACTAATCAAAAATCAAACCCTTAGAAATGTTGGGCAACTAACTAAACGTGCAGCAAGCCAAGTGTGCATAGATGAGAACACAAAGATGAATCAGAGGATTTTCAGAAAGAGGTTTCACAGGGTTTTCATTTCAGTTGTTGGGTTTTCAAAAGAAAACAAATAAGATTGCATGTTTTTGTTTGTTTGTTAAGGGTTTTCTGGGAAACTATATTTTCAGATTATCTGATACGCATGGTGCCTGAAACAGGAAAACACCCTGACGCCTGATTTAAAGCAGGTTCATTGAAACAGATATCAACAGTAAGAAAATACATATTATAAACTCATATGACATGATACTGAAATTACATTTTAAAAAACTATAAATATGTAGAAGGGGCAATGGGCAACAGTTAAACACCTGGACTGTGCTCCCCTATAATGTCTCACCAGTTCATTGTCAATCCAGGATGAGGCTGACCCTCCCGTAGGCGCTGGTTTTGCCATGGAGCCCCGCAGATCCAGACTGCTCATCTGAGAGCCAGAGTTCAGGGTGGGATTGGACCATCCGGACAAACAGTGCTGCAAAATTCATATTTCACAGAGAATCACATTTATCAAGAAAACTAATGGTTAAAGGTCTATTATGTACAAAAATATTCAAACACATTTACATATCCATAGAAACTACGGATCCAAGGCACTTCTTCCAGTTCCAAAATGTTAAAAAGCCTTTATTCGAACACGGCTCACTCTAGAAACATTAAAAATGACCAGTACACCGCACACTGATGCATTTCGGCCATCCAGCCTTCCTCAGAATGTGTTAAGTACAAAATTAGTCACAGGTGTAGATATAATCAGTTGCTCAGTAGAAATGGGAGAAACCAAAATACTCATTACAGGGGGGACCAATAGTATCATTAACAATTTCTAAGTTTCAAAATCTAATTCCTCATTCAAACCAGGAACATTGGTAGCTTTTAGCTGAAAAATCCAAAAGGCTTCCCTTTGTAATCTATCACCCTTTCTAATTGATCCAGTCACAATTTCCAAACCAATAATTCTTAAAGTATTATTTTAAGAATTTTGAATTTTTCAGCTAAAAGCCACCATTTTTCCTGGTTTGAATGAGGAATTAACTCCATATTTGTGAAATGATTATCAGTACGATTATTATTATTATTATCAAGATATATATATATATTTTTTTGTATATGTGATTATACTTTGAAATTGTTAATGATACTATTGGTCCCCCCTGTAATGAGTATTTTGGTTTCTCCCATTTCTACTGAGCAACTGATTATATCTACACCTGTGATTAATTTTGTACTTAACACATTCTGAGGAAGGCTGGATGGCCGAAATGCATCAGTGTGCAGTGTTCTGGTCATTTTTAATGTTTCTAGAGTGAGCCATGTTTGAATAAAGGCTTTTTAACATTTTGGAACTGGAAGAAGTGTCTTGGATCAGTAGTTTCTATAGATATAATTTTGAACCCTACCAAAGAGCACCTTCTGGGACTATTAAACGGAGGTTCTTTCAGCAAGTAGCGCTCCAAGATGTTTTCTTTGACATTTACATATCCTTTAACAAAGCTGTCACGCACATTATTAGTCAATGCCGATAATCTCAAAGGCTAAATATCACCAGATTAATCGGTCAGGTCTATAGATACTTCAGTCTATCACTCGAGAATTCAACGTTAATGCTGATTTGACTATATGAAACTCACCGAGGGCAAACCCAGGCTGTCAGAGGGGTCAAAACTGCTGCGGCGATGGGCTTTGTATTTGTACACTGGCAGCAGAGTTGAGCGAGGAATACTGACCCTGAAACAAATGCATAGAGATCATACAGATACTCAAACGGTCACTCAATCACACACCAAATAAAATAAACTAAACCGAGCTAAGATATTAATGAAACTGCAGTTTTCTGACCTGTAATGTCTAGATCCTCTGAACCATTTTATATTGGACTGGCATGGCACATAATTGTCTGAATCTAAAATGTATTCAACTACTTGGTATATTTAGAATAACTAAAATGAACATTTTGTTTAAAATGAAAAACTACATGAATACCAGAATGATATAGAGAATCGGTGATATTGTGAAATATTATTACAATTGTCATTTTTTATTTGAATCTATTTTAAAATGTAATTTATTTCTGTGTTGCAAAGCTGAATTTTCCGGAATCATTCTAATATGCTGATTCGCTGCTCAAGAAACGTTTATGTTTCATGTTGAAAACAGCTGCTCAATACTTTTTATCAGGGTGCTTTGATGACTATAAGATTCAAAAGAACAGCATTTATTTGAAAAATAGAAAACTTTTGTAACATTATAAATGTCTTTAGTGTCACTTTTGATCAATTTAATGCATCCTTGCTGAATAAAAGTATTAATTTCTCTCCACCAAACTTATTACAGGTAACATATGAATAAACGGGCACTTTGACATATGAACCTGATTAAAGCAGGCTCTCTTTCAGTATGAGGGTGTTCAGATTTGGGCATCTTGCACACTGGACAGGCGGCTTGTGCGTTCAGCGGAACTGCAAACAGTCGACTGTTTATTCTGAAGCAGAATGTGCCTGTGGACCAAGGGCCAAAGGGAAAATGAAGAGAATTATCATGATGTAAAAAAGCATGACAAAGCGATGTCATGCAAACCCAAATCAGCAGATCTCTTACACTGATGTGTGTCTGTATGTGGCTGCGGCTCGTCACTGTCAAATGAGGAAGATGCAAGATCAGCAACAGATGGAAATCTGTGGGGAATAAATAACATTTGCATGATCAAAACATCTTTTGACATCTTGTGAGCTTGCAGGATTAAGCGTATGATTTGTGAGATATAAAGCAACAGACACCAATGTGTTACAGCGATTTTACCACGGTTAAGAGACATCAAAAGGAAGGATGAAGGTAACCTTCAGTGCTTTGTAGAAGAACTCATTATCAACTAGGTTTCATTGTGAAACAAGTGCCATAGAAAGAGACCGACCCTGATAACAAGCTGTGGACGCACTCGTCTCGATTGGCCAGACGGAATCCGCTGAGATCGCTAAAGAACTGCTCCGAACGATCTTCAAGAGAGCTTTCAGCGTCCACTAGGCCTAAAAATAAATCAAACTGTAACCTTTATGGTTTCCAAACAGCACCTGCATGGAAACTGTGGTGCATTCCATCTCTGCAAATTAAAACGGGAAAAAGCTTCCATTCAGCCCACCTGCTATCCAATCATAGCCCAGTAAAGGCCGTATGTTTCGCTCTGATATAGTATCCATCTCCAGCCCAGCAGTCGTTGAGCTGTCAGTCTCTCTCTGTAGTCCCAAGAAAAGGAAAAAAAAAACACATCTGATACTCTCGAAATGAAAACACTACAGCCGTAGCAGATGGGGATTTCTTTCTACGTGGGTGCTTTTTCACTTCTTTGGAAATCAATGTAAACCTTAAGTTCTCCATTAGATTTGTAAACTTTTCTCTCTCTACTGTATACTGGTTACCTGGCGCCATCTAGCAAATATGAACCATGTTGACTAACAGTCTTCATCAGTTGACTAACCGTCTTAATGCATCAATGTTCAAGTGCACATACCTGGTCACAGGAGCGGAGAGGTGCAGATTTGGAGAGCTTCAGTCTCACAGATCTGCTCTGTCCCTTCCAGCGACTGTTCGCTGTGTCTTGCAGTAGTGCGCTGTACGTGCTCAGTTCTAAACTTTGGTTGGGTTTGGTTTTACGTGGGTCCGGTGTGGGGACTTCACAATCTCCAGGAAGCCGTTCATCTGAAGATACGAAGACATTTTGTCAGCAAATTTAGTAATATTGAGCCAACTTATTCATGTGCCAACTTATTCATGTGCCAACTTATTCACTTATTCAAATATATGATACATATATTTATAAGGTTAAAATCTAAAAGTAAGTCAACTGATATAAAATTATCATTACATACACACACACACACACACACATATATACACACACACACACACACATATATACACACACATATACATA